GGAATAATTAAAATGGGGCTAGAACTTGCCCAGTGAAGGAGGCTCCCTGAAGAGCCTTTGCACTGCACAAGACCATAGGTGTAATCCTGATCATCATCTGGAATCTTCTGAGGTGGGACATTCCCACATGAAAAGACAAGCAGACCAGTCTGGAGCAGCTAGAAGAACAGAAGATAATTCTTGAAAGAAAAACCAGGAGAAACAACAACAACAACAGTCCAATTGACTATTACAAGAACAAGCAGGTTGTTCCCCAGGGAGCCATCAAGGCAAGTGGTCAGGTCCCCTCAAGGCAAACCCCCTTCCAAGACTAACTGATATGGCACATAGTCCTGCTGCTGACCACGTTGGTCACTGATAAGGGGAAGACGTGGAAAAACAACAATGAAGTTGTGAACTAAGTCTGACCACATTCAATAGACTCCTGTTAACCTGGATTGAGACCTGGTTAACCAGCAGTATGATGAGACCTGGGGACTCCTGGGCCCAGGGGCAGGGACATGGCCCCTGAGGACTAGAACGGAGTGTGAAGCATCCAGCTGATATAAAGTGAGGGGGGATGCACAAGAACACCCACGCTTGCAGATAGTACCCATTTGACCTGGCATCAATGACTGGATGATCAGAACACAACTAGAGGAAGAAAAAAGAGTGAGAAAAAAACAAAAACATCCACTATAAGTGGATGATCTTGACCTATGCTTGTGTATGCAGTATGACAAAAGAGCAGACAAGTCTCTACAGTGAGGATCATTCCCACCTCATTGGTACACAGGGTTGACAGGGAGGGAACTTAGACATTGACTACGCAAAATGGGGGGGACTACAAAGGCAAGAAGTGACTGGCTTACAAGCTTTCAATAGGGAACCTAGCTCCAGAGGATACAGAAAAATGTAGAACCTCCACTGAATTGTTTCCAACCTGCCTGGATGGGGTTGATAAAAGGTGAGGGGAAAGGACTCCTGTGGTTCAATAGGGAATGATTGCTATCAGGTCTAACAGTGAATGCTGGAAAGGTAAATGTAAATGTTTAGTAACTAAAGGAGGGGAGTGGCTGATTTTGCAGTCCAAAAGCAGAGATCCCTGGAACCACCAAGGGAAAAAAGGGAAGTGCAAGACCGTGTCTGGGGAGGCAATGACACTAGGGTCGGAGGCAGAGGCAATGACGTGGACAGAAGGAGAAGCTGGGAATTTTGGACTCAGAGAGGAATAGGGGTTGTGTGCTGGTGGCCGGGAGGCAGGAGTATGGGGTGTAGTGTACCCTTTGGGTTTTTGATGATGCATGTAAGGGATTGTGATCATTGCAATGAAACAAAGTACGAGAGGATGAATGTAAAGATAATGCTGACCCATGTAAACTAACATATAATTCACAATAAAACTTTAAAAAAAGAAAAAGAAATGGTCAATGTTTAACCATTTTAAGAGATAGCATATGATCAAGAGCCAATGATCCTGAAGGAAGAAGTCCAAGGTGCATTGAAGGCATTGGCAAAGAACAAGGGATGGGGAATTGATGGAATACAAATTGAAATGTTTCAACAAACTGATGTGACACTGGAGGCACTCACTCATCTACGTCAAGAAATTTGGAAGGCAACCACTGGGCCAATTGATTGGAAGAGATCTGTATTTGTGCCCATTCCAAAGAAAGGTGACCCAACGGAATATCATTGAGATCTCATGCAAGTGAAGTTTTACTAAAGGTAATACAAAAACAGCTGCAACCATACATTGACAGAGAACTTCCAGAGGCTCAAGTCAGATTCAGATGATGACATGGAATGAGATCTATCATTGCTGATGTCAGATCTTGGCTGAAAGCAGAGAATACCAAAAAGATGTTTACCTGTACTTTATTGACTATGCAAAGGCTTTCGATTGTGTGGATCATGACAAAGTATGGATGACATTTTAAAGTATGAGTATTCCGGAACACTTAATTGTGCTCATGAGAAACCTATATATATAAACCGAGAGGCAGTTGTTTGAGCAGAACAAAGGATCACTGAATGGTTTAAAATTAGGAAAGTTGTGTGATCAATGAATGGTTTAAATGGTATGTCAGGGTTGTATTCTTTCACCATACTTACTCAATGTGTATGCTGAGCAAAAAATTGGAGACTGGATTATCTGAAGAAAAACGTGACATCAGTATTGGAGGAAGACTCATGAATAACCTGAGAAATGCAGATGATACAACCTTGTTGCTGAAAGTGAAGAGGACTTAAAATATTTACTGATGAAGACCACAGCCTTCAGTACGGATTGCACCATAAAAAATCTTCACCACTGGACAAATAAACAATCCATATAAATGAAGAAAAGATTGAAGTTGTCAAAGACTTCATTTTGCTCATATCATCCATCAGCACTCATGGAAGCAGCAGTGAAGAAATCAAATGACGTATTGCATTAGGCAAATCTGCTGCACAAGACCTCTTTAAAGTGTTGTAGAGCAAGGATGTCAGTTTGAGGACTGAGGTGTGCCTGACCCAAACCATGGTGTTTTCAATAACCTCATCTGCATGTGAAGGATGGACAGTGAATAAAAATCACCATAATAGAATTGATGCATTTGAGTTATGACGTAGGAAGAGAATATTAAAAGTACCATGTTCTGACAAAAGAACAAACAGATCTGTGTTGGAAGAAGTAGAGTGCTCCTTGGAAGCAAAACTTTGTCTCTCATACTTTAGACATATTATCAGGAGGGACTAGTCACTGGAGAAGGATATCATGATTAGTAAGGTGGAAGGTTGGAAAAAAAAAGAGGAAGCCCCCCCTAGTGAGATGGATTGGCACAGTGTCAACAGTGATGGGCTTAAGTGTAGCAAAAATCATGAGGTTGGTCCAGGACCAGGCAGTGTTTGTTTCTGTTGTGTATATAGGGTTGCTGTGAGTCTGTAGCGACTTGATGGCACCTAGCAACAACAATAACTAAGGCAGCTTAATTCATCACGTTGGGTTCAACATTGAAACTGGCTCCTCTAGCAAGTGTAAGTAGCCTGGTTGATCAAAATCCTTGGAAAGCTGATACTCCATTTCAGGTAATGGAATCCTCCTAAACTGTTCCCTTGCTTTAAAGTTTCCTCTCTTGTCAGCTGAGCTGGCTGCTTTAGAAAGAATCTCAAGGATCTTCTGAAGGAACTCTGCAGGAATTCCCTAAAGATGTCTTCTGGCAGAGCCAGTGTGTGTCTTTTTGTTCTTCCCAGTTTTTAAATTAATACAGCCTGCCTAGACTCCTGGTATGACACTGTACGATCAGCACTAGATTGCTAAACACAAAGTCAATGGTTCAAACCCACCTGCCACTCCTCAGCAACCCTAATCAGGTTCGCTTTGAGTTGGAACTGACTCAATGGCACTTAACAGCAACACAGCAACAGCCTGGACTTTCAGGAGCTCACCTGTGGATACCAGTTGCTGCTGTGTGTCTTTCATAGCACCAACCACACCCACAGCACTGTCAGCACGCCTGCAGGTCTGCTTTCCATTGCTTCCATCTGGCTGTGTTGTTCTGTGCTCTTCGAAGAACTGGCATAACCTTGAGTGCCCCCAACAGCTCTTTATGTGATTACCTCGATCCAACATCCTCCATACTCCTGCTGATGTGACCATCTGTGATTGAGTATTGGCTTACTCATCCTTCTCTCCACTCTCCCCGATCCCTGCCTGCCACCTCCCCCACAACCCACCATGATTTCATAATTCTGTCAGATTACTACTGCCTACCAACCCAGGCCAATGAGCTCCCTTCTGCTGCATCTCCCCATCTCCTACCAGGTTGCTCTTCATTTACTCCTTTAGTTCTCCGAGTCTGTTGTTATTAAGAGCCATTGAGTTAGTTCTGACTCATAGTGACTTGTGTAGGATTTCCAAGGCAAGGTGGTGGGTTAAAATCACTGACCTTTCAATTAGCAGTCCAGTGCTTATTCTACAGTGCCACACCAGGACTTTTAGGAGTTAGGGGAAAAAATCTACAGTTAGCGCATAAAAGTACAATTGCCCATTTGCCTAGAGAGCAACTCGTATCTATTAGAAGAAATGCTAACTTAGTTATTTTATTTCACTGAGTCCTCTCATCCTTAATGAAGTTTTCTGACTGTCAAGATGAGAATATCCTGAAGACTTCCCTTGGCAGCCAGGGAAGTTTGCCTGATTACTTACCTCATTGCAGTAAATAATTTATTTTCTCATTGCTCTAGGACATGCAGGAAAAGTATTAATACAAAAGGTCTTCATTTAATGCACTACCCAAAATTTGTAAGTGTTTTTAATCCTCTTCTCAGTATTGTAGAGGAGACCAAATGCTATAGAAATGGTATGCCAAATGACTTTATAAAGCAAATAATCATCTTTTAGTTTATCTCGTCTGTAGATCTAAAATTTTGCACATTGAAAAGCATGCTACACAGTTGCAACACAGCTGAAGGTGTTTTATCTAGTGCTGCTGGAACAGAAATACCACAAGTGGGTGGATTTAACAAACAGAAAGTGATTTTCTCACAGTTTAGGAAGCTAGAAGTCCAAATTAAGGGCACCAGTGCTCAGGGAAGACTTGCTCTGTCTGTTGGCTCTGGGGGAAGGGCTTATTGGTTCTTTCATGATCTTCATTACAGTATCAGTCTTCCTTTATCTCTACTTGCCTAATCTGTTCCTTTTTTATCTCATAAGAGATTGATTCAAGACACACTCTACCCTAAACCCGTTCCCAAATAGGATCATAAGACACAGGCATAGGGATTAGGATTTATAACACTTATTTTGCAAGGATGCAATTCAGGGAAACAAGAAATGGCATATGTGTCTGATCTAATGTTGGACAGATCAAAACAAAATAAAAAGATACTCATAAGACCTACTTGTTAAGTAAAGATCCCATTTTAATACCGTGATTTTGTCTTAGAACTGGTTATCTGTGGCCTTTATTCTCAGAGAAACTCCATGGGATTTTAGGATGTGGAAGGTTTGAGGGCCTGAATATCAAAGCACTCACCTGGCCAGTAGTACATGTAGACCTTCCTTTTGGCCTTGGTCAGAGTGACCCACAGAGGTTCTGATCCGTTCCACCAGAGAGACATCAGGCTGTCTCTGTTGACGCCAATGTCAAATGACTTATTGGTGCTGGGGTCCCACATGTAGTTTCCGGTCATCTGGTGGACCTCACAGTGGCGGCCTACGATGATGAGAGCACAAAACTGTCAGGTTATTGTCCAGTTGTTTTTATTTTTATCTTTGATTTTCTTTATTATAAAATAATTTGTGTTTATTGAGGAAGGACAGAATAGCTATTTGATTTGCTATTGATATCTTTTTATCATGGCCATTTTTTCCCTCATAGACTGTACCATACAGGCAGAAAAATCCAGTGAGATGTCTAATAATTGCGTAAAGATGAGATCATTATGAGTGAAGTCAATGTGTCAAGCCAGAAGCTGTTCTAAGTTAAACTGAGGACATTATGTACAGAATTTGACTCACTGTTCATATCTGTCTAAATATGAATCAATATGGAAATAGAAGATTCCCATGGTCCTTGGGTTAGGTTCACATCCCAAAGTGCTCATAGCACCTCATCCAACCTCTCCTCCCACAAGATCAATAATCTGGATGTGGATTTTATTTTCTCCTTTCTTGGAGCTCTCATAGGACCCATGACATTAGCAACAGAATGGTGAAAAATAAATTTGACTTTGGAAAATCAGGTAAGAAATCAGCCCTCCACATAGAGTGTTATATAGAAATGAGAGTTGGTACCTTGGGGCACAGTTTAGTCTCCAAAGAGAAGCCAGAAGTGAAAGATGCAAACACTTGGACACTTTTGAAACATTAGCTTAAATTATTTATTTTGCAGCAATCTGCTACATCTTTAAAGTAAAAATAACACAAACATTGGCAAGTACATCAAAAATTGCTGCAATTTTAGTGAGAATCATTTGGCACCAGGATAAAGCATGGTTTACTAAACTCCCTAACTATGCTTAATCAAAGTTTGTTTTTTTGGTTATCTATTTGCAAGCTATTATTTCTCTTTATCCCCCCCTCACTTTATTTTTAGACAAAAGCAAGGAAAACCCATAAAGTACAAGTTTTGAAAATTTGGAGACCAAGAACAACCATAAAAGAAAACTTTTAAAATAATAATTAAAAAATTTAATCACAGCAACCTAGATAGTCTATAAATCATACTTTGAATTTAAAGACTGGAGATTTGAAAAAAACGTTTTTTACCTAAAGCAATAGAGTAAGTTTTTGTTTTTTACCTTAACTAAAGCTTTCACATATGGAATAATAAAATTAAATGCATTAAAAACTTTGAGTAGTTGATCCAAAAGTTTTAAAATGTATTAATTAATCTCATCTATCCCATCACTTAACATATGGTGTGGTATTGTAGGATAAGCACTGGACTGCAAGACCCAAGGTTGGCAGTTCAAACCCACCAGCTACTCATCAGAAACCCTATATAGGGTCATTTTGAGTCAGAACCAATTCGACAGCACTTAAAAACAATAATAATGTGTACCATAAACAGCTGTGGCGGTACAATATTTAAGCCCTTAGCTACTAAAAAAAAATTGGTAGTTCAAAACCCACCCAGTGCCTCCGTGAAGAGAGAACTGGCAGTCTGTCCCAGTGAGATGACAGTCTAGAAAGCCCTATGGAGTATCTGTAATCTGTCACATAGATTACTATGAGTTAAAATAGACTCAATAGACAGCTTCCAACAACAACATGTTCATACCCACCACTCACCTGCCAGTTTGTCATTCTGGTGGCTTGTGAGTTGCTGTGATACTGGAAGCTATGCCACCAGTATTTTAAATACCACAGGGTCACCCACTGTGGACAAGTTTCAAATGAGCATCCAGATGAAGACAGGCTAGGAAGAAGGAGAGACAGAATACTACCAAATATTTAGTCACTGAAAACCTTATGAATAGCTGTGGAACACTGTCAGATATAGTGCTAGAAGATGAGCCCATCAGGTTGAAAGGCACTCAAAACGCAACTGGGGAAGAGCTGCCTCCTCAAAGCAGAGATGACGGTGATGATGCAACTTTGTCAGTCTGAAATTGATCAAATATGCAATCAATATGTATTGATATTACTTACTGGTGATTGGAAAGCAAAGGTTGGAAACAAAGAGTAAATGGAAGAAATGTGGAGGTACAAGAGCTGGAGAGAAAATTTCAAAGGTCAGCTCAAGAAGACAAAGTCAAATATTATAACAAAATGTGCACAGACCTGGAGTTAGAAAACCAAAATGAAGAACATCCTAATCATTTCTCAAACTGAGGAAACTGAAGAAAAAATTCAAGCCTTGACTTGTGGTATTGAAGTATTCTCTGGGCAAATTATTGAATGATGCAGAAAACATTAGAAGAAGATGGAAGGAATATGCAGAGTCACTGTACCAAAAAGGAATGGTTAATGTTCAGCCATTTCAAGAGATAGCATATGATCAATAGCTAACGATCCTGAAGGAAGAAGTCCAAGGTGCACTGAAGGAATTGGCAAAGAACAAGGCACCAGAAACTGATTGAATTCTTTCAAAAAAGTGAAGCAGCACTGAAGGCACTCACTCATCTATGCCAACTGACTAGAAGAGATCCATAATTATGCCTGTTCCAAAGAGGTGACCCAAAGGAATGTGGAAATCATTGGACAATATCGTTGATATTCCATGCAAGTAAAGTTTCACTAAATGTAATACAAAAGTGGCTGCAAGCATCCACTGACAGAGAACTTACAGATGTTCAAGCTGGTTTCTGAAGAGGATGTGGAATGAGGGATACTATTGCTGATGTCAGATGTATCTTGACTGAAAGCAGAGAATACTAGAAAGATGTTTACCTGTGCTTTACTGACTATGCTAAAGACTTTCGATTGTGTGGATCATGACTAACTATGGACAACATTGTGAAGTATGAGTATTCCAGAACACTTAATTGTGCTCATGAAGAACTGGTACATAGACCAAGAGATAGTTGTTTGGACAGAACAAGGGAACACTGAATGGCTTAAAATTAGGCAAGGTGTATTCTTTTACCATACTTATTCAAGCTGTATGTTGAGCAAATAATCTGAAAAGAAGGATTATGCAAAGAAAAACAAACATGGCGTCAGGGTTGGAGGAAGACTCATGAACAATCTGAGATATGCAGATGATATAACCTTGCTTGCTGAAAGTGAAGATGGCTTAAAATACTTACTGATGAAGATCAAAGACCACAGCCTTCAGTATGGGTTGCACCTCAATGTAAAGAAAACAAAAATACTCACAATTGGCTCAATAAACAACATCCAAATAAATGGAGGGAAAAAATGAAGTTGTCAAAGATTTCATTTTGCTTGGATCAATCATCAACATTTACGGAAGCAGCAGTCAAGAAATCAAACAATGTATTGCATTAGGCAAATCTGCTACACAAGACCTCTTTAGAGTGTTGAATAGCAAAGATATCAGCTTGAGGGCTAAGCCATGGTATTTTCAATAACCTCATATGCATGTGAAAGTTGAATAACAAATAAGGAAGGCAGTAGAAGAACTGATGCATTTAAGTTATGGTGTTGGAGAAGAATATTAAAAGTACTATGGACTGCCAAAGAACAAACATCTGTGTTGGAAGAAGTATAGCCAGAGAGGTCCTTGGAAACCAGAATGGCCAAACTTTGTCTCTCTCACTTCGGACATATTGTCAGGAAAGACCAATTGCTGGAGAAGTATGCCATGTTTGGTAAGGTGGAGGGTCAGAGAAAAAGAGGAAGACCCCCAGCGAGATGTATTGGAAAAGTGGCAGCATCAATGGGCTCAAGTGTGGAAACAATTGTGAGGTTGGCCAAGGACCAGGTAGTGTTTCATTCTGTGGTGCATAGGGTCGCTATGAGTTGGTAACAACTTGATGGCACCTAACAACAGTAAGCATGTTCTTCCATTTTGGTTTTCTAGCTCGAGGTCTTTGCACATTTCATTATATACTTGATTTTGTCTTCTTGAACTTTGAAATTTGCTGTTCAGCTCTTAGACTTCATCCATTTCTTCCATGTCTTAAGTTTGACAGATGACATCTTCCCATCCTGACTTCTAAGGACCATTCTGGCTGTACTCTTTCTAACACAGATATGTTTGTTCTTCTGGTACTTTCAATATTCCACAGTACACTCAATATTCTTCTCCAATACTATAATTCGAATGCTTCATTCTTTTATGGTCTTCCTTATTCATCGTCCAACTTTCACATGCATTATGAGACTATTGAAAATGCCATAACCTGGGTCAGATGCACCTTAGTCCTCAAACTGATATTTTTACTCTTGAGTACTTTAAATGCAATATTCAATGTAAAAGATTGAAGTTGTCAAAGACTTCATTTGCTTGGTTCCACAATCAACACTCATGGAAGCAGCAGTCACGAAATCAAATGATGCAATACAATCCGTCATTTAATAGCTTGAGTGCTTCTTCTGCAAATGTTGTTTGTGGATCCAAGCAAAATGAAGTCTTTGACTTCAAATTTTTCTCCATTTATCAGGATGTTATTTATTGGTCCAGTTGTGTGGATTTTTGTTTTCTTTACATTGAGGTAGAATTTATGCTGAAGGCTTGGATCTTCATCAGTTACTATTTTGAATCCGCTCCACTTTCAGCAAAGAAGGCTGTATCATCTGCAAATCACAGGTTGTTAATGAGTCTTCCTCCAATCATGATGCCTTATTTTTCTTCATATAGTCCATCTTCTTAGATTATTTGCTCTTGGATTTTTTTTTTGGGGGGGGGGCGGTGGGCAGGCTGAAGTGGGGTGGGGAAAGGTAGGTAGGAGTAAGGAGTGAGGGTTAGGACTATGGCTAGGTTGAGGCTAGATCTAGAACTTCACTTAGTTTTATGGTTATAGTTAGGACTTGTGTTCGTGTGAAAGATAAGTGTCAGGCTAGGTCCAGTAGTTAGGCTTGATCTCATTTTCAGGACTACAATCAAATTTATTTTTTCTTGAAATCTACTTAATTTCCTCTTCATTTGAAAGTTCTGTGACTTATTTCCTCTTTTTACTTATGCATTTTTCATTGTTTTTGTTGTAGTAACTGTATCTCTGCTTCTCTATTTTTCATCTTGTAGGTCTGTTTTTCTTTGATTATTTCCCTATCTGAGTTCAGTTTGGGTGATATTGTCATGTA